AATGAGGAAATAAGAATCAAGTAGTATGAACACTAAAATATGACATTTTCAACAGAGTTGGAATTCTGAATTACCAAATTATGTCTATTCCGTGTGACATAAGTATGGAATAATCTTTTCCTTGGCTCATTTTAATGAAAGCTTGAACAAAATATCTATTCTGGAAGACCGGCTGGATTTTGGGTGGTTTCAAGAAGTTATATTCAATGCAGTGGCCAACCTTGAAGGAAGCTAAAGTGTTTCGGAAGCCACTATAGAAATGTGATTTAGTAGAGAAGGGGGCTGCCCAGTTCCTGTCCTTAAAAGGGTGGGTGTGTGAATGCGCCTGCCAGTTTGCTCTATGGAACTTTAAGAAGATTAATGGTTCCATTAATGGATGTCAAGTGCTGACAAGCACTGAGGGAAGAAGAGGTAATGCCTGAGTGATTCTCCTGGAGAATCCAAAACATGGTGGAGTATTTGTCCGGTGTTATTATCATCATTAGTTTTCTGTCTGTACTTGGGGGTCATCTTGAGATGTCTCTAAGTACTTAGACATTTGGAAAAGAACAGTATCTTCTCATTTCTTTCTAAAAATCGACATGAGACAGAAGTACAGTCATCTGCAGAGGGGAAGATTGGTTTCTAGGCTGATTGAATATCAGCTTGAATTTGGAGATGAAGATGGTCATAGTGGGGATGAGTCACAGTAAAACATTGGCAGCTGTTTGGAAGGAAAGAGCCCCATTGCCAAAGTTTCCAAAGGGCTGAAGAGTTTATCTCCGTGGAAACATCTACGCCTTTTGTGAGATTGGTCCAATCATAGCCCTAATACTGCGTGATTCTTATTTCACCCAAGCCTGGTGGGTGGATTGGTTGAGGTACTTACCAAATACAGTATGATTTAGTCATTTGAATTTCTTCATAGGTCAATCTGGGAGAGTTGAATTGACTATGAGACTGAAGTTACTCCAGTTTTTATGATAGTCCTTTCTCATCACAGATTTACTAATGGTTGCTTTGGATTTATACATCAGTCTTACAGGCTAGGGTAACTTGTGTCTCTTTGTAAGAGTGTAACCTGTTCTTGGTATGTTGCTCGTCTATTTTTGCTCATTTGTGAATTCTTCAGACATTGAGGGCTTACTGTGAAGCATAGATATGATAGACGGGAGTTCTTTAATGTAACAGAGGAAGCAGGTAACTGGACATTACCCTACAAGTAAGGAATTACCGCTCTGAGGCAGGATGTGGGAGACAGTGGGACAGCCTCTCATTTCCAGTGAGACTCAGCATCTGAATTTATTCACCCCATGTACTTTATGTTAGGCATTTTATTGAGTACTTTGCATATTTTATACCAACTGCTCCAGGAAATACTTCAGTTTTACAAACTAGGAAACTGCACCCGAACGAGACTACCTAATGTCATGTCTTCTGCGTGGCCCTGCCATTATATTCTCTCCGTTTAAGTATACTTGATATGGAGTAAACTTCAGAGTGCAGTCTGGAACAACTTGCTCCTAACCTGAAGAAGATAGGTTGCTGACCGAGTCGCAGAAGCAGGTAACCAAGAGCTTTAGAGTCCATTTCCATTAAATGTGCAAGTGTTGTGTGTCCGCCTTTTTATAATATTGACTCTTAATAGCTTGAGGAGACACTAGAGAATGTGACTAAAGATATGTTCTTTTCTCTCAGCAAAATTTGCCTATAGCATGGCTGAAAGATGAAGAAGTCTCCTACTGGGAATGCTCATTGAGAACCATTACTAGATCTGCGACTTCACTATTTTCTGTTTCCTGTGAGAGGGTGATGTAAAAGCAGATCTGTAGTCCTCAATAGGCTTTAGGAACCCACACAGGTAGATTAAAAGCTAGTAAGTTTTAATAGTTTACGTGAACAAGCTCTCTGAATTATCAAACAAAATCTAAGGAACATAGCTTACCTCCTTGAAGGGCAAAGCTGTGTAATGAAAGGAACATCTTAGTGCCATCTTGGTTCTGCCTTCTCTAGGGTGGCGTGGAGAGCTTATCTTCTTGATTATCTGTGTCACCTCTTTATACCAAGAGCTCAGGGCAGCCTCATGGAGGTGTGCACAGTTCTTTAGGTAGTCATCATGGTTAATGAGAGTGGAATTTTGCAGAGGAAATAATAACTTTTAAAAATAGAAGCCTAAAAGCCAAGTTGTCTGTTCATTTTTAATAGCTGAACTAAATGGAAAGAATGTTTTTTTTTTTTTACTGCTAACCTAGAAGAACTATTGTAGGAGATCAGAGTTGCTATTCACCTCCCTCCAAGTGTTGGTTCATCAATTTGAATAAAAGAGGTCTGTTTCTCTCCTTCTTGGAGAGACCTATATCCAGACCTGTCCTGCCTATTTATACAATGTCAAATAAGAGTTCATTCAAATTATAATAGCTTCAAACTCTCACCTTCCAAAATATCAGAACTGCAGGTCTTTTTTCCCAGGTGCCATCGTCAGAATTTTCAGGATTTCTGAGGTTTCCATGCCACTTGCTAGGAGTCAGCAGAGTCAGGTGCATGACGTGGGTGATTTCCAGAGCAAGCTCCTGGGGTCTCCATGGCACTGGCAGGCCTGTTGCTGGTGCCCTGTCAGTGCTGAGGAGACAGGAGAGGGGTGCTCCCCAGCCTCCCTGGCTAAGGAACTCATTCCATGCTTTCAGCTTAAATACTCTTCTTTCAGTAGGCACCTAGTCAGGGAATCCCAGAGCCCTAAGAGCACTGCTCCGCCTCAGCTTCTCATACATCACCTTTGCTCTTCCATAGTGCCCAAAGCAAGCCTGCAGTATTTTGTGCCTAGTACCATCCAGATCCTTTCATGACCCTGTACTTGAGAACAGGTCACCAGTCTAAATTTAGCCTCTTGATACAGATTAATGTGTAAGAGGGAGATGCACTCTTTAGCACTCCCTGGCCTTATTTGAGGTCCCAATGTAAGGGACTATTTGGTGAAGAATAATTCCTAACTCCTCAGCTAGGATCACCCAGAGGCCAGACCCTTCAAACGTATAGTTTTATCAAGTAAATCCCACAGGAGGACTGTACTCAGAGCAGAGAGCTGGTTTTCCACTCCAATGTAAGTGTCAGAAGCAGTATACTCTGGTCTTGGGTCATCCTGGAGGAAGATCTAAGGATTTTTAAGGATGGTTAAGGTGTGTGTGTATTTTACTGGGAACCCAGGGCCTCAC